CAAGCAGCGGAAGAATGGCGTGAATCTGGGGATCCGTTGACATACAGTACTCGCGAACGAAGCGCTCGCACTCCGATTGGACGGCATTCGTGATGCAATCCAAGTCCAGTTCACTGGTGTTGAAGTGGTCGGTGGTGTCGGCGGAGGCGGTGATCGCAATGGACTCGTTGTACGACTGCTTGCATTTGACGTACACTTCGTTACGTACGCGACGAATGCATTTGGAAGTGATCCGATCCGACACGAAGTCCACCGTCTCTTTCAGTGACGGCAAATGCGAGCCGAAGAACTGCCGCTCGATCTCCAGCCGCAGCTCTTTCTCACGATTGTTGTCACTCTTGGCGCTCACGATATTGTCGTTTTGGTCACTCTTATGGCCGCTCACTATCTTTCGCGGAGTCGTCACCAGAGGTATGCGCCGTCTCTTCTTCGGGTCGCTATTGACGCCATTATTCGCGCACTTCTTCACACCATTTGGCGCCTCATTTTCGTCTGACTTGAGATCGTATCTCGCATTTGATCTCTGGTTTTGTGGTATATCTTGAGATAACTTCTGATTGTGCGGCAAATCTTGAGGTGATCTCCGATTGTGGAGCATATCCTGCGGTAACCTCTGATTGTGTGACACCTCTTGAGGCGACCACTGATTTTGAAAGACATCGTGCGATGACATCTGTTCCGGGGGTGACATCACGTGTTGCGGCGATATCTTGTGGCGATTGTGGATCACATCCGCGTATGACTTCTTGGGCCGATCGTCGGCCACTGAATTGGTCTCTGAGGGCGACGACGACTGGCCTTTAATCGTGTGGTCAGCGGTGGCACTGATTTGGGCCATAAGTGTCTTGTAATCGTCGAGTTGTGCCCGCATTTGATCCAAACAAACGGCCAACTGATCGGTCGACACATCACTGGCGCTAACGTTAGACAACTTGTGTCCAAAACTAATGTTGAGTTCATTTAATTTGGATTCAATCGACGAAACGCTATTCAATTGCATTGTATTTGACATTCAATTAAACTTTTTTTTCGTTGTTTTGTTTACAAAACAAATCGCAACCAAAAAACACATTGATTTTCACTCAACACTTCACTCAATCACTACTGCATTGCAAACACTGTTTTACCGACTGTTGTGTGAAAAACAAAACAACACTTTTAATTGAATACCGATTTCTGGCGAATGAATGCAAACATTGAATGCAATTAACAAAGAGTTTGTGTTTTATCGATAAAATTGAGCGCAAAATGGGTTTCAAATAATCATTTCATTCATTCATTAATACANGTGTTTTATCGATAAAATTGAGCGCAAAATGGGTTTCAAATAATCATTTCATTCATTCATTAATACATTTGATAAACAAATCGCCAATAAATGAGTGCTCGTTGTCTGCTATCGCAGCTACAGTCGACTCCCGTTATTGCATACACAATAAAACCAGCTCTATATCCACTGTATGTTAATTAATTACATGTATTTTATAAAGTGACTGTTTATTTAATTGTATACAATGTACTTTACTATATAAAGTGTACACTATAGGTACACATAATTAATATTAATTTAATAGCAAATTAGATTGCATTGAAGTCATACTGTATTAAAGTTGTGAAGTTAATTGGGGTCAACTGTATTGTGTACTGTTATAGTGTATGCATATATACTCTCAACAATTTAGTACTTTTCTATACGATTTATATATTGAGTACTGTATAGTAAAGTACACGTTATTTAAACATAACTCAATGCAAAACTAATGGATATAAATAACGTCCACTTATTGAATAAAATCGCAATAAAAGTCGATAATAATGTTAAACAGCAAACGCTATGCAAAAAAAGTTTATACAAGAAAATGGGGCCAAAAATACTATGAAATAAAATGTCGTAATTTATGGCATAATTACAACATTAATAAAAAAAGTCATCGAAAAAAGCGGATTCAAAACGTAAACCAAATATTTTTTACATTGCATTCAAACTTTGAATGTCGATATCAAGTGTTTGATTGAGTCATTTGTCTGACAAAAACTCTTGAGCTTTGGATCCGATCGCGTGGTTCACGTGTTTGTCTGCCCTAACGTTAATCAAGCGGTGAATGCGAAACCCCGGTCTTTCGACGCGAAACCCATGGATAATAAGATGAGTGCAGAGGAAGTGCTCATCGATTGCGGCGCCGATGAAGAAGAAGACAGCGGCGAAGTGATGGCCGCTAACGGAGACCCCACTCAAGCCGTGGCCGCAGCCGAAGACCGACCTGTTGTGGACGTAATTACCATCGATGACGACGACGACGATATTGATTACGAGGACAACGAGAGTGAGGTTTGTGTCTTGAGATTGTGATGATCTGCACACGTGTTTTGTGTCCAGTATTTTGTTTCCTAATGAATGGTATGTTTTGCTTGCGATGACTGACAGAGCGATGACGTGATTATCATCGGAGAGAGCGATAGTGACAACGATGTCGCGGACGACGACAACAATCGTACTATCAATTTGTCGGATCAATTGTCTGTCAATTCGTTGCCCTCTAATGGTGTGTCAGCGGCCGCTGTTGTGTCCGCCACAGAGGCTGTGGCCGCAGATGTCTTAAGCGAAGATCAAAAAGAGAGTACGAATGACATCAACGTTGAGGTGAAAACTGCCCCAAAGAGTCCGAAACGGGTCAACACAACACCTGTACAATTGGCCTCCACTTCAAACGGTGCGACCAATGGGGCGGCGGATACAGAAGCGGATCTGATCCCCACAAAGATGCAGCGAATCATAGGTCCCGCAGACACGGAGATCACAAATTTGGTGGCACCTCCGCAGCTGCCGTCAGCGCCCGTCGATCCCGAGACACAATTCAACCACTATTTGCAGGCATTTAAAAATCGTATGAATGATATGAATGCCGACCAGAAAGAGACGGACGATATCCTGTGCCGTATGAATGAAATGTACGATAAGTTGAGACAAAACAAGTCGTTCTTGAAGTCAAGTCAATACTCAAAACTGTTGGAAATGTTTACTGAAGAAGTGCTACAAATGGTGGAAAAGGATCGCATTGTGTCTCATAATAACGATCTGTTGATTGAATTGAAAAGATTGACCGAAAAGAGGGTGAAGAAGAGTGGACTGAAGGGCACATCAAAGGTTAAATGTGTGAATAAGTTGACCGATAAGTTAAAGGCCGTCCAAAAGGAGATTTTTCGGGCGGAGAACTCAGAGCTGGACTTTGAGGCGTTGGGCGGAAAGAGCTGTTGGACTGATTTGCCTAAACTCTACCGAAAGGCTGAAGAGCTTTGGACCAAAAGGGAAGAGCTGTTGAATCGGTCGACAAATACTGGCCGACAATTGTTCAAGAAATTGAAGTACGAGTCGACGCCTTATCCAGAAATTAATCGATGCGTTGAAAACGTGTTCAACAGTTATCTGAAGCGTATGCGGACAATGAGGTCTGTGACCAGTGGTCGCCGATATCTGGACGAGTCGTTCACTATAATAGATGTGCGGAAAGCGGTTTTGGCGGAGATTGAGAGCAAACACTTGATTGTGACGAATAGTGAGTCAATGATGGCTAAGATATACGAAGACTTGTTGTTAGAGATGAGGAATCGGCGGCAAAAAGACGGCGACGAAGGGATCGAGACGTACGAGTCGTACGACGATCTCAGACCCGAGACCTTTGTGGCCGACGACCCACTCATTGACATCGAGTGCTCCAAAACCAAAGTGTTGTGCGAACGCAAAATGCAAGACCTCTTCGAGCGATACACCAAAGAAGACATCAAAAAGAACGGACCGTTAGTTCAGACGCCGAGCGCCGAATGGATCGACCATTTGGTCGACACCGAAGACAACGACGACTTCGAGTCATTGGATGTGAAAGAGGGAGAACTCGAAGAAGACAACGACGACTCCACCAGTGATGACAACGCAGATGAAGAACCCATTGAACAACCCATCGATTCCGGACATTCATCTCTT